ATACGTAATATATTCTTCGGAAGCATAAGTTTGTTTACTGATAAATTAACGTTTTGTACGGCCCTTTGAATTAGACCAACCATGCAAATATTCCACCTCTGTCAGCCCTCACGAGTCACGCCTCTCTACATATACTTGTTCAAGCCCTGCATGCTTCTCCATCTGTCCAATCTTTACACATTCTACCTCATTCCTTTTCTTCCATACATACACGACCGACCAAATTAATTCAACTCAGTTAGACCAACATGAAATCGCTCAAGTTTTTCTTGGTGCTAGCGATGCTGGTGGCTCTATCAGCCGTCCATACTCTCTCAGTCTCAGCAACATCATACGAATTCGAAGAATCATTCTTCAACGACGTCGTCGAGGAAGACAACACTAATGTTGCAAATGAAACCTTTGACGACCTCCCAGTTATGGCCGCACAAGGCCAAGAAAAAACTTCTCTTAGAGGAACAAGCCGCTTTCTAGCTTCTCATCGGGCCATGGCCGCGATATACGACAAGAACCCTAAGGTCTGTAAAGCCACGCATGCACATTGCTGCGACAACAAATGTGTTGATTTGAAGACAGACAAACTCAACTGTGGGAAGTGTGGGGTGAAAAGCCATCACGCACAGATATGTTGCAAAGGTCATCTTGTGAACCCAATGTCTGACAAGACACACTGTGGAGGCTGCGACAACCATTGCAAGAAAGGCGGTTCATGTGCGTTTGGGATGTGCAGCTATGCTTAGAAATTCATAATGACGTACGCAGAGGAACTTCTCCTCATCAATAACAACAGCTATATATATTATTATTGCAATAAGGAATAATGTTTTATGTATTTGTTTTGGAGACTAATTAAGATATATGTTTTTGACAATGTCTTGCTCAAAATAATTGTGAATGAAGAATACAACGAGCTCTGCTGAAGCAACTCATATTTCCAGCACCTCATATTCCATCACAAAACCAACAACTGGTATCAGAGCAACGTTCGATCATATCTGGGCGTTGAAATCAACTCTAGAAGATGTCATCAGGAGCCAAAGAAGGTCCATCAGTTTCCTACTCTGTTCTCCCAATCTTTGGAGGTGAAAATTATGATTTCTGGAAGGTGAAGATGAGAACTATACTACTGTCAGAAGGACTTTGGAGCTTTGTTGAAAGAGGGCTTCAAGAACCAGAGGATCTAAGTCAGCTTCCAGCAGCAGAAATAGAGAAGTTTGAAGCAGAAGTCATGAAAGATGCCAAGGCTCTCTCCAAAATTCAGAACGGAGTCACTTCAGACATTTTTCCAAGAATCACAAGAGTTAAAACAGCCGAAGAAGCCTAGGATACATTAGAAAAGGAGTTTCAAGGTGACAGCAAGGCCATAACAATCAAGCTACAGACTTTGCGCAGGGAGTTTTATAATATGAAGATGAAAGAATCTGAATGCATCCAAGATTATGCCTCCAGACTTGCTGAAGTTGTGAATCAAATGAGAACATTTGGTGAGGAGATCTCTGACCAGAGAGTTGTTGAAAAAATATTGATCAGCTTGCCTGAAAAATATGATCCCATTGTTGCTGCTATCGAAGAGTGCAAGGACATCACCACCTTATCAATTGAACAATTGATGGGTTCTTTAAAGTCTCATGAGCAGAGAAGGTTGGCACGAAATGATCAATCTGTTGAGAGTGCTTTCCAGTCAAAACTAAGTTTCAAATCTCAAAAGTCCTCCAAGAAAGGCAATTCTAGAGATGACCAGCGAACGGGGGAGCAAAGAAGATGGAAGAAAGGAGAATCCAGCAAAAGAGATGAAACCAAGAATGGGAAAAGTACGAATTCTGATGATAATCAGCCTTCCTGCAGGATTTGTAACAAAACAAATCATGACACGTCAAATTGTTGGAACCGTGGAAAGCCAAAGTGCCATCATTGCAACAAATTTGGGCACGTTGAGAAGAACTGCAGATTCAAGAAAGCAAACCAAGCAAATTTTTCTGAAAGTAAGAATGATGATGATGGAAATGAAAACTTGTTCTCTACTTGTCTATCTGCTCTTGAGGAAAAAGAAAGCATCTGGTATCTTGATAGTGGATGCAGCAACCACATGTCAGGAAATGAAAATATTTTTCTTGGTGTGGATACTTCTGTTACTCCAAATATCAAAATGGGTAATTGTGCTATTGTGGAGGCAAAAGGAAAAGGAAGAATTGCTGTCAAAACTAAGAAGGGAGTAAAGCAGATTCATGATGTCTTGCTTGTTCCAAAACTAAGTCAAAATTTGCTTAGTGTTGGACAACTTGTGGAGAATGGCTATCGTCTTGTTTTTCAAGATGGTACATGCATCATTTATGATAAAAATGCAGCTGAGATGGTGATTGCAAAGGTGAAAATGGAGAGGAATAGAAATTTCCCCATTGAATTTCAATATGCTGAAGTTGCTGCCATGAAAGCTGATGTTGTGCAGGACTCTTGGTTATGGCACAAGAGGTTTTGTCATCTAAACTTCCAGGGGCTGAAGCTACTCCAGAAGAATAGTATGGTGAACGGGCTGCTGGAAATTAAAGAAACAACTGATGTATGTGAAGGGTGCATTATGGGCAAGCAACACCGTAATTCTTTTCCTCGACAAAGCACATGGCAAGCAAAAGCACCACTGGAACTTATACACACAGATATATGTGGCAAAATGCAAACTCCATCTTTAAGTCAATACAGGTATTTCCTCACCTTTATTGACGACTTTTCGAGGATGACTTGGGTTTATTTTTTGAAGGAAAAATCAGAAACTTTTGTTGTGTTCAAAAGATTCAAAGCATTAGTGGAGAAGCAAAGTGGCAGCACCATTAAAGTTATGCGAAGTGACAGAGGAGGTGAGTATACCTCTCAAGAATTTGAAGATTATTGCAAAGATGAAGGAATTTGGAAGCAATTGACAGCAAGCTATAGTCCCAGGGGCGGCCCTGGGGTGGTGCAAGTGGCGCCACCGTACAGGGCCCCCGATTCTTAAGGGCCTCGAAAAAAAAATTCCTTTGTATATATTTTAATATTATAAGAATTCTATATATAGTATAGCGTGCTAAGTATTTGCACAAGAGCGTGTCTGGTGGGGTTGGGTGGAGCGCATATCCATATAACAAAAGGGCTAGAGTTCGATTCTTGTTGAAGTTGATCTATTTGCCTATTTTTATATTTTTTGCATTATAAAAATAAAAACAGACTAGCTTTGATTTCAATTGAAAGTGAACTTCTAGAAAAACTTGATTATGAACATTTGATTGATGATTTCTCTTCTAAAAATTCAAGAAGATCAATTTTCAGACATTAGTATTGTATTGGCTGTGTTTTTTTTTCTTTTGGGGAAAAAGCTCTCGTAATAGTTTTAATTCTTCAAATAAAGACAGCAAATACAATGTGAATGATTTTTGGATAGTCAGATATGTTTTTGTTGTTACTTTTGTGTTTAATGCAATATAATCTAATTTGTTAATGACATTTGTGTGCGACTACTCTTTCATTTGTGATTGACCATTTTTTTATATAGTATTTTTGTATTAGATTATGTGAGGCCCCAATTTATGTTTCGCACAGGGCCCTCAAAATCTCAGGAACGGCCCTGTATAGTCCCCAACAAAATGGGATTGCAGAGAGAAAAAATCGAACAATTGTTGAGATGGCTACTTCAATGATGAATGAGAAAGGACTACCCAAACGTTTTTGGGCAGAAGCTGTGCTTACAGCAGTGTATATTCTCAACAGAAGTCCAACTAAAGTTGTCAAGAACAAGACTCCATTTGAAGCTTGGAGTGGTTTCAAGCCTTCGGTAAGACATCTCAAAATCTTTGGTTGTATCTGTTATGCTCACATTCCTGCTGAAAAGAGAACTAAATTTGATGATAAAAGCCAGAAATGCATCTTTGTTGGATACAGTTCCAGCACCAAAGGTTACAGACTTTATAATGTTGAAACTAAGAAGTGAATTGTGAGCAGAGATGTTGTTTTTAATGAAAAAGCAAGATGGGATTGGAACGAAAATAAAGTGCAGGAAATGCCATATGCTTTAGCGCAAGAGCAAAGGGAGATTCCAGGAGAGCATCAAGAAGAAGAAGCCACTCCTCAAACACCAGCAGCTGCCGTAAACAATTCAAACGCTGAACCTGTTCCCCCAAATTATTCTTCATCAGAAAGTCCTCCACTAAGAACCAGAAGCTTGAATGATATTTATGAGTCTTGCAACTTTTCTGGTATAGAACCAGGGAGCTTTGAAGAAGCCCAGAAGCATGAAGTATGGGTGAAAGCAATGAAGGATGAGATAAGAATGATCGAGAAAAATCAAACTTGGGAGCTTGTGGATCTTCCAAAAGACAGAGATGTGACTGGAGTCAAATGGATTTTCAAGACAAAGTTTAATCAAGATGGAAGCATTCAAAAGCACAAAGCAAGGCTCGTGGCTAGAGGTTTTACTCAAAAGCTAGGTATTGATTTTTTTGAAACTTTTGCTCCTGTAGCCAGACTTGAAACAATTAGAACTTTGATAGCTCTCGCTGCCCAAAAGAATTTATCAGCTTGATGTGAAGTCAGCATTCTTGAATGGAGTGCTAGAAGAAGAAGTTTATGTTGAGCAACCCCAAGGTTTTCTTGTTGAAGGGGGAGAAGACAAAGTTTACAAGTTGAAAAAGGCTCTTTACGGGCTAAAGCAGGCGCCCCGGACTTGGTATGCTGAAATTGATAAGTATTTTTCACGTAGTGGTTTTCAAAAGAGCCAAAGTGAGCCCACACGAAGGGAGCTTCTATTCTTATTGTTTCATTGTATGTTGATGATTTGATCTTTATGGGCAATGATGAACACTTGATCCAACAGTTCAAGAAGGATATGATGAGCACCTATGAGATGAGTGATCTGGGATTACTTCATTATTTTTTGGGAATTGAAGTTTCTCAAACTGAAAATGGGATCTTCATTTCTCAAAAGAAATATGCTGAAAATATTCTCAAGAAGTTAAATTGGCTGGGCTGCAAATCAGTTGCTACTCCTTTGTTAACAAATGAGAAAATGAAGAAGTTTGATGGTGCAAAGAAGGCAGATGCTAAGAAGTACAGAAGTTTGGTTGGTAGTTTGTTGTATCTTACGGCAACTAGACCAGATATTATGTTTGCTGCAAGTTTACTTTCACGTTATATGCAAGAGCCAAGTCAGATTCATTTTGGAGCTACAAAAAGGGTGTTGAGATACTTGCAAGGCACACTTGACTATGGAATTTTGTTTACAGCAGCAGAAAAATCAAGGCTTATTGGTTACACAGACAGTGATTGGGCAGGATGTCTTGATGATATGAAGAGCACTTCAGCCTATGTTTTTTCACTTGGTTCCGGCATATGTTCATGGGCATCAAAGAAGCAAAATGTGGTGGCACAATCTACTGCTGAAGCAGAGTACATTGCAGCAGCTAAGGCAGCATCACAAGCTATATGGCTTAAAAGGATACTTGAAGACATTGGCGAAAAGCAAGAAGAAGGCACCAAATTATATTGTGACAACAAATCAGCCATTGCGATTGGGAAAAATCCAGTGAGTCATGATTGTACAAAGCACATTGCCATCAAGTACCATTTCATTCGAGAGTCAATTGAGAAAGGTGAAGTTGCACTTGAATACTGCAGGACAGAGGAGCAGCTGGCAGACATACTCACCAAGGCACTTCCAAAAGAGAAGTTTTGCTATTTAAGAGAGCTCATTGGAGTTGTGAAGAAAGTCCATTAA